GTCCACCTAGAATTTCAGAATATGTGGAGGTAATTAGTTGAGATAAAGTTACACATATTAGGATGTGCCCAAATTCCTATGACTACTGTCCTTATGAGAAGAGGAGAGAACATGTTAGGTGTAACACAGGACGTCAGATATATTTAAGGAGCAGGTTTATTAAAAAAGGTACAGAATTTTTTTTTTCATATGCTAGTTGGCTCTCTGCATTTCCCCTTTGGAGAAGTATGTTTTTAACTCTTATGCCCATTTTTTCATTTGATTTTTGAGTTTTTTCAGCTCTCTCTATGTCTTTGTGATCAGTCTTTTATCATTAGTACCATGTACAAAAATTTTCTCCCAATCAGTGGAGTGTCTTTTTGTTTGTGTAATGTCTCTTTTGCTGTACAGAAGCTCTTTAATTTGATGCAGTCCCAGTTGTTTATCCTTTCCTTATTATCTTTGCTTTGGATAAGGTATCTTTAAATATATTACTGAGGTATATGTCATGTAGTGTTTTGTCAATATTTTCTTCTATATATTTTGTGGTTTCAGGTCTTTTGAATGGTGCTAGAAGGGACCATACTTAGTGAAATAAGCCAGGAAGAAAAAGAAAAATACCAGATGGTTTCACTCATAGCAGAAGTGTGAGGGATCAGGAAAAAAAAATGTAATAAAGTAAAAATTAAAACCAACAAACTATAAATCAGCAACATTCTATGGAAGTGGACAAGGGGAATATGATCAAAATTGGGGCGGGAAGAGCACATGGGACTATGGTGATGGCACATGGGTGAATTGGTGGTGGGAAGTCCATGGGGGATTATAAACAAGATGAAAAAACATGTACAAAGAATGATGTTATGTATGTGTGTGTGTGTGTATATATATATATATATATATATATATATTACATTTTCCCCTTTATATATATATATATATAAAGGGAAAAAAGGACAGAAAAAATGAATAGATGCAAGCAGGCAGAAGGAGCTACTCTGAAAGGGACAGGTTTGCTAAGAGAGTAGCCTACATGGTTGCAGGTACGTGGCCTTGAGGAGAGCTGCCTTTGCTGAGGGAGGTCAGTGAAGAGAAGCTCAGGCATGTTATAGGTCACAGGTGGACAGGAGGCTGCTGCCCTGTGGACACAGAGAGCTGGGAAAAGAAGCACCTGCAGCTGGGAAAGAAGCACAGGTGAGCAGACTGTTACCCCTCTGTGGGGAAAGTGCTGGTTTTTATCATATTCTCTCAGTAGGGAGGGTCTCATCTTTGTGAGTGGAGTGTTTCTTCCTTAATCCCAGTAGTTTCATCTTTAGGTCTGTGCTCTTGACATACCTTCCAGGTTAATGGTAGTTTTTATAGCTGGATGAATGACTAAATTAATCCCTGTTACCCACATCTCCTTGTATGAGACAGGTTCTTGACCTTGTAGAGTCATTTGTAGTTTTTCTATTCTTATCCTTCATCATGGTTATATTAAAAACTGGAACAGGGCCCTCCCTGGTGGCATAGCAGGTTAAAGCACAGCACTAAGAAGCTAAAGCTACTTAAGCACTAGTTTGATCCCTGCCCCGGGGGTGGCTCACATGGCATGGCAGACCTCTCCTGACCCACCTGCTGCTCCCCTCAGCAGTGTACTTCCATCGGTAGGCCTGTTCTGCTCCCCACTCTGTCTCTGGTGAATCCTCTCACTGCCCTTGCACCTCTGGCCTATACCGCAGTTCTGTGTGCATAAATAATCTTTTAAAAAATAAAATAAAATGAATTTCAAATGAAAGATGATGAGTATACTCTGTTAATGAGTATTTATGAGGGGGCTTGCCCCATCTAGGCAATGTATGTGTGGTTAAAATAGATAAGGTAGGCCCTCTCTGGTGGTGCAGTGGGTTAACACAACACTGGGAAACTAAAGCCACTTCAGCATGTGTTTAATCCCCTCCTGTTCCCGAGGTGATCCACATGGCAGGTCAGACCTCTCCTGGCCTGTCAGCTGCTCCCCTCAGCAGTGTACTTTGTCGATCTGCCTGTTCTAGTATGCATAAAAAAAAAAAAAGATAGGTAGAAGCAGAGTATAAAAACCCTTGTGGCCCTCTCAGAAATCTCGCTCTTGGAAGTGCCCAGTGGTGCCTATGAGCCCAGACAAAGCCCTCGAGCGACGCCACTTTGCCTCTGGACAAGACTCTGTCTCCGGGCCTGCACACTGCTTTTTGGGGGACACTCTGTCTTAGAGTCCATTGGACCAGGACCTGAGACTGCCTTCAGAGCAAGCTAGCATGGCATGGGTGAAGATTCCTTTTGCGAGTCCCTCAAGCCTGGACGGGCGATTTTGCCTTTGCTGCCTGCTCAGCGTGGCACACGCCATAGACTGTGTTCCAGTCACCCTTGGAATAGCGAGACCTCTGCAGATGGAACTGTCCCAGAGTGCCTGAACCAAACCTGCAGAAAATCCTCTAGACGCTGAGCGCTGTCGCCAACTCTAGTATTGAGGGAGATTACTGTGACTGCTCCAGCGGAGAGGACAAGTGAGCAATCACAAGGGGTTACCGATAGAGTAGTTAGGATTGAGTGTTAAGTGCTGTGCTTATTATAACCACATTCTTCTATAACTTTCTGTAAGGCTGCCCGAGACCGTAGCCTAGAGAAGGTTATAGAAAGGTGTTTATACTTATTTGTAAGATTTCCTTCCAAAATATTTATTGCATTAAATGAAGTGTGAAGTGACAGCATCTTAATTAACATCGATTCAGTTGTAATTTATTCAGGGAAACTACTCTGAGAATATCCACTCTCAACAGATTTTGAATGCAAATCTAAAATTTACCTTAAAGTTCAGGTTTAAAACTTATAAAATGAATGCATGTCTGTTACAGACATTAAAAAAAAAAACTTGCAGAAAAGTCATTGCTACTGTTGTAAACTCATGTTTTTTACTTTGTTATGTCATAAAGCATTGCCATCAACACCTGATGTAAAGTCTTCACTTGAAGGTCATTTTCCTTTTTTTCCTAGATGTTCAAATGATTTCTTAGAAAGTTGTTAAACTTTCTAAGGCTATGTCTTGGTTTTGGTTGCTTCTGTGTTGATACTTTCAGGTATGTGGTGCGCTTCAGTTGGGCTTTTCCTTTGCTTTCCCCCCCCCCTATTTGAGGAAGGCATTTTGAAGTTGCAGATTTTAATATTTTTTTCTGGCCTATTGCTTTGGCTTTCTTCTTTTTTAAGGATTTCTATTATCTGATATAGGTGTGAAGACAGTCATGATCAGTCTTTGTCTCTTGAGTTATCTTTTTATTCATTGGAGGTGGTTAAAACTTTAATAACTTCTTGAATAATCTTGTTTATTTTAAATTTTATTCTACTTAAGTTGTACCACTTTAGTTCTGCTTCTTGTAATATGTCTTGCTTTGAAATAGGTAACAGTTTAATCTGTTTTATGTTTATGTATTTGGTGGACTTCCTTTGGGTGTTGGGCTGTTATTCTATTCCTTTTTGTTTTTTCCTGGAAAGAATTTTGTATGGCGTTTGGTTTCATTCCTTTTCTATAGCTAATTTTTATAATACAGTTTTTCTGAATTTTTAGAAGGCTATAATAAAGACGGATTTTATAACTTATGTTGTTGATGCGAGTGGATGTTCTCAAATTAGTTTCCCCAAATAAATTCTAATTCAGTCAATGTTAGGATGCAGTCACTTCACACTTTATTTCACACATTAATTAAATATCGGGAGGCAATATATTAATTCAACTTGCAGACAGTCATAAGCATCTTCTTCCTTTCCTCTCCTCTGCGGCTACTATGGAGGAGATAGAGATAAAGATGCCCTCATTATTTACAATAATCACAACACCCAATACTTATTACAAACCACTCTATCACTAACTCCTTGTGGACACTTACCGCAACTTGTCCTCTCTGCTGAAGCAGACACAGGATTGGCTAGAGTGCGGCGATGGTGCTCTGATGTCTTGAGATTCCTCTCCGGAGGATGAGGGTTCTTCTGCAGGTTCATCTCAGGCACTCTGGGACCATTTTTCCACAGAGGTCTCCCCGTTCCAGGGCGGTTGGAACAGTCTTTTCCCAAAACATATTGTACAGGCGCCGGAGGTAAAGTCACTCGTCTGGGCTTGAGGGCCTCAAAGACAGTTTCTTGCCTGTGCCACACCAACAGGCACCAAATACTGGGCAAGAGTGTACTTGCCCAGAGGCAGAGTTTGATCAGAGGCAGAGTTTGCCTAGTGACAGAGTGGCGTCACTTTCGAGGATTTCCGGGCTCACGGGCACCATAGGGCACAATGAAGCGAGTGGTTTCTGAGCTGACTGGAGGGGTTTTTATACTCTATTTCTACCATATCTCACTTAGCCATACACATATTCCCGGGGCAAGCCCCCTTCATAAATACTCATTAGCACACATCATATCACATCACACAGTAACAAGTTTGAGGAATTTCCATCTCCTGGCTCTGCATATCTACTTAACACGGGTTGCCATCTGACCTTCTTCTGCCACCGTCTGGTGATATCTCAACTAGCTGCATAGGTCACACCCTTGCTCACATACCACTAGGTCCCTGTTGGTGTGAGATAAGTATGCCATGGCACTGGCCACATGCCAAATTTGACTGAGGACAGTGGCCTTTCCATGTTCTTTACAGCTGTTTTCTAGTAGTTTGTGAAAATAAGTCTACGTGTTTCCCTTTTTAGGCACCAGTCTCACATCACCTGCTACATTTCTAGTGAATAAAAAAGTGCACCCAAGTTCTCTGTGCACCTGGACTCGCAGCATTTTTTCTCTCAGATGGAATTCCATGACAGCCTTTGGAGGGATAGTTTTTGTTCTCTCCACTTGCATTTGGATTTGGTGTTTTAAGTGCTGTTGGTGGTTTTGCTTTCTTTTTTTAAAATGGGGGTTTGGGGCATTTGAAAGCAATGTCTTCACCACTGCCATTCTTAGGTTTCTCTGTTGTTAAGTAATAACTTAATGTTTATTTAATGGAGTTGATTTTTTCCCTACCTCTACAGAGAAAAAGAAATTGGAATACAGAACACCTATTCTTTCCAGGAGGGAGTCCACTTCAGTTGAGAAGAACAGGTCTTAGGACAGTGGGAGCAGCTGCTTCCCTTTCTGAAGAATGGCTTAGGTGTGGAGAAGGATTTCAGGACACTTATGACAATCAGGTATACTGGTTATAATACTGTTTTCCTTGAATATTGAAGGATAAATTTTAGATTCAGAAGTGTCCAGGCCATTGTAACCATTTCTTTGAAATTCCCTTTCTTTCAGTTCATTGTAATTGTAGATTATTTTTTTTCTTACACTTGAATACCTTTAATCAGAATTTGAAAACTCACTAAACTATTGTATATCCAACTCTTAACAAGAAGATGTTTATGAAATGCTTATATAATCTTTTAGCAATGAGATATGCTTAACTTTTGTATTTTGTATCTTGAAGTATAATACAGAGGAATATTATTGTAAACTGAAGAGCATTTAGACAGCTTTTTTTAGATATTGGAAAAATATAAAAATGCATATGCAAGTGTATGAGGAGTCTTGTGTATTGGTAAATATAAATAAGGGAAACAGAAATATATGGAGGAGTGTATATAGTTTAAGATTTTGAATATTTTATAAAATATTGTTGGTTTTAGCCCTGTCACATAAATAACAGCATCACCATCATAATCATCTTAATTGTTATTCTGCCTATAGTCATTAATAACTGAAAGGAAGACTGCTACAGGAAAGCATCTTGAATTATCCCCTAAACCCAAAAAAGGTAATATTTTTATGATTTTTATTAGAGAATATATAATACTAATGTATTTTTCTTTGCTTCACTTGTTTTCTTTTACATATTATTTACATGGTTTGCATAGACTATTCATGGTAACATGCATCAAGACAACGTAGAAGTGTATTTTTTTGAAGAAATCTATGTCAATCACTGTCTACCCCATTTTTCCTACCTCCTATAAATAATCATTCAATTTTTTTATGTGTCCTTTCACAACTCACTATTATAAGCAGAACCTAGTAGGTTAGCTTGTGTTTATAAATCTGACTTGTGAAGTAAAATTGTGACCTATGACATAAGTACTGTACTATTTTAGGCATTGATATTATACTTGGTGAATTGTATAGGGAACACTTTCAGTTTCATGTAGTGGGAAACACCACTAGAGTGTTTGAACAAATGGGGTTGAATTTCTCTCCTGCAACAAGAAGTCTCAGACTTGAGTTCTACATGCAGCCTTAGTGTAGGATTTGCTCTTGTAGTCAGAAGGAAGAAATTAATTTCTCTAGCCCCAATTCTTGGGATGAACACAGGCTCTAAGGAGATTGTCCAAGTGACTATTTCCTTTGGGAAAAATTGCCCACCCTAGGACATCTGCATTTGGCCAAAACTTGTTACATTCTACAAATATAACTAAAGAGAATTAAGTGAAGATTTTAAAGCATGTATGTTACTGCTCATGTAAAAAGGGTTTTTGTTAGTTAGAAAGAAGAAGTGTGGACATCAAGAAGTTGCTAGCTCTGCTGCCACACTCAAGTTACACCGTGGGTGGGTAGGAAGATAGGAGGTTGGGACGTAAAGGATATTGTCTGTCCCCAGGCAATGATTTGGGAAAGCAAGGTGAACATTCTTGAACTTTGATTTCTGACTCTGGAAAATGGGCCTAAGAATGTGTTCCTCATTTGGTCATTTTGAGCTAAAAGAAGAAACAAACAATGCCTAGCTCAAATTCTTACACTTAGCGTGCGTATCTTTTTAAAATAACAGTCTTTTGATGGTACTGCAGATTGATTTTCAGTTTAACTCAGATTTCTTAAGTGTCACAATTTAGTGGAAATAGTTTCATTTACAAAGTTAACATATCTTTTTGAAGATTTTTTTTTTAAAGATTTATTTATTTACGCATACAGAACTGGGGTACAAGCCCGAGGCTCAGGGGCGGCGAGAAGCTTCACCAGAGACAGAGTGGGGAGCAGAACAGGCAGATCAACGAAGTACACTGCTGAGGGGAGCAGCGGGCGGGTCAGGAGAGGTCTGCCACGCCATGTGGTCACCTCCGGGGCAGGCGGGAATCGAACTCATGCGGAAGGGGCTTTAGCTTCTTAATGCTGTGCTTTAATCCTCTGCGCCACCAGGGAGGGCCTCTTTTTGAAGATTTTTAAGTAAATATAGTCAAATTCAACTTGAAAGGAAAAATACATTAGAAAATAGTATTGTTTCCTTGGTTTCTTTCCTTTTCAGTTTGTTAATTAAATGTATAAATAAAACTGATTTTTGAATATTGATTTTGTAGCCTAACACTTCACCATCTTAATTATTGTTTTAATGTTTTGTTTTTTTTTATTAAAGAGTATTATCATGTTTACTGCAGATAGTGATTATTTTCCTTGTTTTTTCCTTTGGTTTCCTTTATTGATTCTTTTGCCTAAATGCAAAACTTCCAGGACTATGTTGAATAGTTGGGGTGAAAATAAGTATCATTGTCTTGTTGCTAATCATAGTGAAAAGGCTGTCATTTTCACCATTAAGTATATTAACTATGGGTGTAGCATATGTGGATTTAAACATGAGTTATGTTCTTTTTATCCCTTTTATTATTGAGGTTTTGTTTTTTAAATCACATATAGATACTGAGTGCTTTACAGCCTTTTCTGCATTAATTGATATATCATATGCTTTCTATTTTTCCTTTTGTTTATTGTGTTACATTATGTTACATTGGCTGTAGTTGTTGAGCCTATCCTTGTGTATCTTGGATAAATCCACTTTAGTTATGGTGTATGGTCCTTTTAATAGTGGTTGAGATCAGTTTGCTAAGATTTTGTTGATTACTTTTGAATAGCTGTTTATTAGTGATAATAGTAGTTTCTCATTTTTTGATGTCCTTGCCTACTTTTTTGTCTTTATTGTTATTATTTTTTTAATATGCAAAACATATTTCTACAGTCAACAAGTGTGAATTTTTAATAATTCTAGCATACAAAATATGCATTACAAATATTACAATGTTTAAATACTTGGTAAAATTTTTAAATATATTAATAAAAATTTTAATTTATTTTACATAGTTCTTCCTTTTTTGTACAATGTGTCCAGTTCCTCATATAATTCTCACCACCAATTCATCCAGGTCCCATGACTATAATCCCCTGTGTTCTTCCCTCTTCCCTCCCCTGTTTTTTTGTTTTTTTTTTTTTAAGATTTATTTATTTGTACATACAGAACTGGGGTACAGGCCAGAGGCGCAGGGGCGGTGAGAGGCTTCACCAGAGACAGAGTGGGGAGCAGAACAGGCAGATGGACGAAGTACACTGCTGAGGGAAGCAGCGGGCGGGTCAGGAGAGGTCTGCCACGCCATGTGGTCACCTCCGGGGCAGGCAGGGATCGAACTCATGCGGAAGTGGATTTAGCTTCTCAGTGCAGTGCTTTAACCCGCTGCGCCACCACGGAGGGCCCCCTCCCCTGTTTTAATCTTTCTTCTGCCCCCTCCCTTGAAGAAAGTTTATAGTTGCCTGCTAATTTTTTTTAATTTATTATAATTTTTTCCCCTGATAATTTATTTGCTATTCCTACATTCCTCTTAGAAGTGAAAAACAACTAATTATTTTCTTTTTCTTTCTGGCTATTTCACTGAACATAATCTCTGAGCTCCATCTATGTTGCTGTGAATGGTATTAGTTTATCTTTTTTGATAGCTAAGTAATATTCCATGGTGTATATATACCATACCTTCTTGATCTACTCATATTTTTTTTGGCATTTGGGTTGTTTCCATACCTTGTGAAGAGTGAAGAGTGCCTCACTAAAGGTAGAAGTGCCGGTATCCTTTTGCATAAATGTTTTTGTGTCCCTTGGGGAAATAACTGAGAGTAGAATTGCTGGGTCTACGTCATTATTTATAGCTGTGGTGTACGTGTTTATTTTTGTTTCACTGATGAGAGTGGTGTATTGAAGTCTCCTACCACACGTATTTTCTGTAATGTCTGTTTTCAGGGCTGATAGTAATTGTCTGATGTATTTTGGTGCTCCTTTATTTGGTGAATATATATTGATGAGTGTTATGTCTGCTTGATATATTTTCCCCTTATTCATTATGTTATAACATATATGTTATGTCTTTTTACCTGTCTTAGTTTGAAGTATACTTTTTCAAATATAAGTATATATCTGTCCTGCCTTCTTTTTTGGTCCCTTTGCTTTTAGGATTGTTTTCCACCCTTTTACTTTCAATCTATATTTATCTTTTGTAGTTTTCATTTATTTCCTCCAGACTTGAAAGGGTTAGTTTCTGTTATTTTTTTTTTTAAGTGTAGTCCACTACTCTGTGCCTTTTTCTTGATGCACTGTGTGTATTTACATTTAGAGCTAATACTGATACATTTGTATCCTCATTTGCCATTTTATTTGCCTTTTTTGTGGTTTTATTCCTTATTTTGTTCTTCATTGTCATCCCTTTGTTGCTTTTGGATTTGGGTTTTCTGTAATACTTTTTTTGGAATGGGGGTTTAATAGTAATGAATTTCTGGAAGTTTGAAGTGTTTCTGACAAGATTTTTAATTTTCTTTCATAGAGAAAGAAGTGGTTGTGGGGTAAAGTATTGTTGGTTGGCTTTTGTTGACTTGGAGATTATTAAATAGGTCACTTAATTCTCTTCTGTTTCTTTGTAGAAGTCTAATGCCAGGCTGACTGGTTTTCCTTAATAGGTTATCTGTTTTTTTACCCTCCTCAGTTTCATTTTTCCTTGTGTTGGACCGTTGGAGATTTTGTTACTATGTTTCTTGTGTAGTTTTCCTTTCATTGTGGTAATTTGGTGTTCTTCTTGCTTTCATTATGTCCATTTTCACTTCTTTCTTCATGCTTGGAAAGTTCTCTTCATTTATTTCCTTGAATAGTTTCTTCTTACTTTGTCTCTCTCCTCACCTTCTGGAATTCCTGTGACTTTATATTTCCTTTCCTCATGGTGTCAGACAGTTCTTGAATTGTTTCTTCATTCTTTTCTTACTTTTTTCCCCCCACAGTTTTATTTATTTATGCTCACAAGACCACTAGGGAGGACCGAATTTTTATTCTTAATTGGAGACATTCTTCCATGTCTGTATGATCATGTTCTGGAGGTTGACTTTCTTTCTGTGGTTTCTTGTTCTCAGAGGGGCCTACTTGATCATTTATATTTGCTCTCTTCCCATTGTTAGCCTTTGGCTTTGCTTTTGTTTGTTGTGCTCCAGTACTGCTGGTGCTGGTGAACTTGACATTCTGATTTTGATTGCTGAGGTGTGAGTGTGTCTGCCTAGTGTCCGAGCCACTGTGGCTCTTCTGTTATGGTACATGTTGTTCTGAGCAGTGCTTTGCTCCTGAGACCCTGCTTTTCCAACCTCCACTGTTAAGGATAGGATCCTGTGTTTCAACTGTGGTAGTCAAATGTCTCAATTGGACCGCTGAACCTTCAGACGCACACTGAGACCAAGTTTACTGGGAGATGCCTGCATGTTGGTTGGGACTTACTTCTCTTCTGCACTACTAAGTCCCTGTAGAATTGTCTCAGAAGAATACCAAGATCAAAAGAGAATATGGAGTGAAAGAAGAGATAAGAATAAAGGGAACTATGATATGGAAATGCAAAAAGGCATGAAGATGAGCAAAGAAAGATGAGAAAAGAAGGGGGAAGAGCTTAGAGGAGGAGGGAGAAGAGGGAATGTAACAGAAAGAAAAGAGAAGGTAGTAATGATAATGTTAAAGTGGAGTAAGAGAAAAACAGAAGAATC